CTCCAAACTTTGTTCAGTCTCTACAAAGAACCTTCTCCAGACCTGCCGTCCATCACTGAGAACCTTTTCGACAGTCTCATCTGCAGAACCCGGACGGTTCTGGAGAGTCCAAACCTCGCTGAACTCTGATCGTCTGCAGATCAATCAATAACCGATCGATCAATCATCGCCGCAGGTCTGCATACACCCCACACCGTCGGAGGGGGCTCGTTACCGTGGAAACACAGCCAGACACACGGAGCGAATTACAGACGGCTTCATACCTCAGCTGCTGCCGAGCGGAACCAACAACCACACACACACACACACACACACACACACACACACACACACACACACACACACACACGCACGCACACACACACACACACACACACACACAGCTTTAATTCTCCTTGTCGGTTAATTAAAACAAGAAGTGACTGGAGGAATTTGTGAAAATATGTGTGTTCACGGACTGTGTATGTGTGTGAGTGTGAGTGTGTGTGTGTGTGTGTGTGTGTGTGTGTGTGTGTCTGTGTGTGTGTGTGTGTGTGTGTGTGTGTGTGTGTGTGTCTGTGTGTGTGTGTGTAAGTGTGTGTCCTTGTGTGTGTGTGTAAGTGTGTAAGTGTGTGTCTTTCACACTTCCACTTGTGGTTAATCCAGTTCGGCGGCGGCGCTGATGAAGTGGATCTGACGGGAGTCTTGAAGGTTCACACACCTTCATCTGTTTGTTTTCATTTAACTTTCTCACGTCTCCGACTCCTGAGGACAACGTCCGACAGGTCAGTCACATGACTCTAGACCGTCAGAGAGGCGGAGTCTGTATGACGGACAGACTGACGGGGTTCAGGACTCTGTGAGAGAGCGTGTGAGCGAACGTCTGTTCGTCCGTCCGTCCGTCTCTCAGGTTTCCTCCCTGCAGGTTCAGGTACCTGATCTCCTGCCGCACCTGAACGCCGGCTCGCTGCGGCGCTGCAGGGCTGTGATGTCATGCTGATGTCATGTCATGTGATCGGGGTCTTAATGTCCTCTGATATCCTCGTCCTCTTATATCAGGTGTGACCGACCGCTGCGGGCGACCAGCGGAGTCATGTGACCCTGACAGGTCCTCAGAAGACTACAATTCAAGAGCTGAAGACTACACACACACACACACACACACACACACACACACACACACACACACACACACACACACACACACACACACACACACACACACACACACACACACACACACACAGAACTGGTGTCTAGTATAAACATCCCGCCAGTGTTGTCATGGTAATTTCCGTGTCCTCGTCATGCGCTCTTATCACCAGATGCACTGTTTACAGTGTGTGTGTGTGTGTGTGTGTGTGTGTGTGTGTGTGTGTGTGTGTGTGTGTGTGTGGTCTCGTGCTGGGACTTGCTCTCTAATAAACCTGCATATTTGGCAGCTTCTCTCTTTTTCTCCTCTGCAGCTCAAACACAGAAAGTAAACACACACTTACACACACACTTACACACACTTAAACACACACACTTAAACACACACTTAAACAGACACACACTCTTTATATAAACTCTTTACATCGATATATAAACCATTAGAACAGTGTGTGTTTTGTCGTGTGTGTGTGCAGACATCTAAAGCTCAGTGAGTGAATTTAGTGAACTGCTCCTTTAAGGTCACATGATCACTGTCGTCCAATGATCTGTGCTTCACCTGTTTAACTCACCTGTGTAGTTTTAACAGCTCAGTTCTTATATCATTGTCTTACTGCAGAACAAACTTCTGAGCCTCAAGTCTGAGTCCAGATGGAGCAGCATGGTGCTGGAGGATGGAGTGGTACTGTTCCTTCTTCTTCAAACTAACCTCCTCCTCCATCACCTGCAGAACATCTCCACACCATGAACTACCACCTCCACGCTCTGCTGTGTCACAGCTCCTGTTCACAGTCAGGTGACTCACAGACAGTCTGTCAGAGTGGGTCAGGTCTGAGTGATAGAGTTGTGGATCTGAAACCTGGAACCATGTGTGTGTGTGTGTGTGTGTGTGTGTCTTACTGCAGATGTCTTCAGGAGGGGTGTGTGTGTGTGTGTGTGTGTGTGTTTGATTTGCTGGTGTGTGTGTGTGTCTCTGTCAGTGTGTGTGTAGGTGGGAGTGTCTCCATATTGTCCTCCATCTGTCTCTGTCTTTTCTGTCCTCTTTGTTCTGTTGTTCAGCCTGCTGCACCCCCCCACCTCTCTCTCTCTTTACTCTCTCTCTTTCTTTAGTCTCTCTCTCTCTCTTTCTTCTCCCTCTCTCTCTCTTTACTCTCTCTCTCTCTCTCTCTCTTTAGTCTCTCTCTCTCTCTCTCTCTCTCTCTCTCTCTCTCTCTTTAGTCTCTCTCTCTCTCTCTCTCTCTCTCTCTCTTTCTCTCTCTCTTCTCTCTCTCTCGCCCCTCTCTCGGTGTTTTAATCCCTCTCTCTGTGTGCAGGGATTTACATGTTAAGTGCAGGTTAGTTAATCTGTTGCTCGGCCCTTTAAGGCTCTAAAACAAACACACACACACACACACACACACGTTTGTCTCTGTATCTTTGTGGGTCCCGTCTTTAAACTCGCCGTCTGAAGATCAATCAGATTCGATCAATCAGATACAGTCATGTGACTGTAGAATGTAAACAGGAACCAGAGCGGTACTGGTTCTTCCACAACAGTCCAGATTTTCAGAGGACCTGGTCCTGCTGGTCCTGGTGCTCATTCACAGACAGACTGATGATAATCCGGATTAAAGAGTCAGATTATTAACATAAACAGGGATAATTGATCATGGTGAAGCAGGTCAGCTGTGACCAAAGAGTCAGGTTGACTATAAAACCAGATTAACTATAAAACCAGATTAACTATAAAACCAGATTAACTATAGAGTCAGATTAACTATAGAGTCAGATTGACAAGAGTCAGATTAACTATAGAGTCAGATTAATTAGAGTCAGATTAACAATAGAGTCAGATTAACTACAGAGTCAGATTAACTACAGAGTCAGATTAACTATAGAGTCAGATTAACTATAGAGCCAGATTAACAATAGAGTCAGATTGACAAGAGTCAGATTAACTATAGAGTCAGATTAACTATAGAGTCAGATTAACTATAAAGTCAGATTGACAAGAGTCAGATTAACTATAGAGTCGGAGTTTAATTGCAGAGTCAGATTAACTACAGAGTCAGATTAATTGTAGAGTCAGATTAACTACAGAGTCAGATTAATGTAGAGTCAGATTAACTACAGAGTCAGATTAGCTACAGAGGCAGATTAACTTGTCCGGTAAATTACAGTCAGCTTAATTGTAGAGTCAGATTATCTTGAGTCAGATGAGCTACAAAGAAATATTAATTTCAGAGTCAGATTAACTACAGAGATGGATAAACTTGTCAGATTAACTAGAGAATTAGATTAACTACAGAGTCAGATTAACCAGTCAGGATTACTACAGAGTCAGATTAACCTCCTCCTCAGACACAGTGTGACTCCTCCTGGTTCTGGTCCAGCTCAGACAGAACCATCAGAACTGACTTCAGTCTCTCCGGTTCAGCTCTCGTCTCTCAGATTCTTAATCTCTCAGATTGACTCTTGAACATTCGTCTGTTTCGTCACAAAGACGATCAGAGTCTCTGTCTCTAAAGTTAATAATCTGAACTGTGAGGATCCTCAGCGAGGACTCTTCTCTGTTTCCTAGAGGAACCTTCAGGAATGTAAACGCCGCTCCAGAACCGCAGAAACAAACAACAGAGACCTCATGTTGTCGTCTGTTTACTCGAACCCAAACCTTCATTCAGAAAAACACACACAGAGTTTCACTCTCTGTGTACGGAGGCCCTGAAGGCTCTCAGTGACCACGACAAACTTATGACTGAACTCCAGAAATAAACACAAAAATATTTTACACAACGCAAAAAAAAACTGAAACAAAGAAAAAGACTTTACAAAAAACTAAACCAGGACACATTATTAGGAACACAAGAGCTGATCAGATCAAACAAAGTGATTTTAATAAAACTGGGTTACAAAATAAATAAATAAAACTTTAAAAAAATGTTTTGGTGTTACACCAGGTTTTACTGACATCTAAGATTGTGTTTTCAAAAAAATTTCAGAAGTTTTGTTTTGGTGAAACTTTTTTTCTTGGTGAAAATAAAATATTTTTTTTGCTGTTTTTTGCCGTTTAAATTGAATTAAATGTAATATTTTTCTTTTTTTTTTTTTACAGGTCTTTGTGTTTCTAAAAGATTTTGAATTTTTTTTTGCCCTGAATGAAAAAATTCAATGTTGACAAAATGTTTTTGCCTTTCTAGATTTTTAAAGTTTTATAAATGTGCACTGGAAATATTTTTAAACACATTTTGAGGTTTTAAAGAAACTTTACTAGAGTTTTTTTTTCTGTTCCTAAACACCTTTTAAACTTTTGTTTTTTAAACAGTTTTTGCAGTTCAGAAACTTTTTCTTAATGTCAAATTAAAATATTTATGCCGTCTTTTGATTGTTTAAATTAAATCATATATATATATATATATATATATATATGTTTTTTTTTTTGTTTTACAGGTCTTTGTTATTCAAAAAAGATATTTAAATTATTTACCTTGATGAAAAGAATTAAATGTTTATAATAGTTTTTCCTTTCTTGATTTTAAAAGTTTTATAAATGTGCACAGGAAATATTTCAAATATCTTTTTGGATTTTAAAGAAACTTTTTAAACATTTTTTTTTTATTTAAACACCTTTTAAACTTTCGTAACAGTTTTTGCAGTTCAGTAACTTTTTTCCCCAGTGTCCTCAGAAATATTGTTTAATGAAAACTCTGAGCAGTTGGCCTTCAGGGCCTCCGTACAGAATAAATTACTTTAAATATAAGTGAGACTCTGAGATAACACAGTTGATCGATCCGTGATCGGTGTTATTGATGACTCATATCAGAAACCAAACTCCTGTGATAAATGTTTTGTTTTTTGATCACAGGGAAAACTCTGTACTACTCTATGATCGATTAATCGTGCTGGATCGATCGGTGGTTTCGGACCGAACCGTCGGTCTCTTACCTTCGTCGGCCGAGCAGCGGGTCAGCAGGAGCAGCGGGAGAAGGAGCAGCAGCAGCCCGCAGGAGGAGGCCCGTCCCCCGGACTCAGGGGCCCGCACACCCCGCAGACCCTCCATCCCCTCCGGAATCCTGACTGGATGAGACCCGAGGATCCCTGATCGATCCGGGTCGATCACACCTATAGATCCCTGATCGGTGACGTCAGCTGGGCTCGCTCTCAGCCGGCCGCGCGCGCCTCATTGGAGCCGAAAAGTGAATAAAAATCCAGAAAAGGGTTTTAGAGTGAAGAAGGAGAAGAAGAGGAGGAGGAGGAGGAGAAGGTCTTCAGAGGAGGAACAACTCCAAGATGGACGCCTCCAAAGACAGACAGAAAAAAAGTCCCAAAAACAGAAAAAAAACTGAAGAAAAAGAAGAAAAACTGGAGTCTGATAACCTCCACTCCTCTGTCCGGGTCTCCTTCATCCCTCCATCCCGACTCTCCGTCTGTTTTTCTCCTCTTTCTTTCTTTCTTTCCTCCGAGACAGGAGAGCGGGGCGCGGCTGTCCCTGAGGCCGGGAGAGGAGCGCTGAGAGGCGGCCTGCCGAGCGGAGAGGTGTCGGTGTGTGTCTGCGGGACCAGAAAGAAGCACACACACTCTCTGTGTCCTCTAACACACACACGCACATGCACGGACACACTGGGGGTCAGATATCTGTGTGTGTGTGAGTGTGTGTGTGTGTGTCCTGTCCCAGTGCTCCCAGTGTGTCTCTGCGGGACCAGTTTAAACATCCACTAAACTTTAGACAAAAGCAGCCGGACACGCCGAGGACACGCCCCCCACAGTCTGTGATTGGCTCGACGGCCTGTCATCGTTCAAAGGGGCGGGGTTAGGGTAATGATTGACAGACAGATGTGCAGGAATGTGTGTGTCTGCCCGCCTGTCTGTCTCTCTGCAGAAACCAACAAAAACACAACAAAGTTCGATTAAAACCGATTAAAAAGAGACAAATTAAGGTTTTTAAACTCTTTTAAATCTTCACAGAATCATCCGGGTTCTTATTTTTCCTCCTACATTTAAAAAAAAACACTTTAAACTGAGTTTTTAACTCTAAATGTGAAACTAACAGTTCGGGTTTGATATGAACTTAATGAGTCTGAGAGTTTATTTACATGAAACTGGGATCCTCTCCCTCTCTCTCTCTGTCTCTCTCTCTCTGTCTCTCTCTCTCTCTCTCTCTCTCTCTCTCTGTGAGCTCAGTGTCTCTCGCCCAGTCTGAGAAACTGAATACACACCTGACCTGAGTGTGTGTGTGTGTGTGTGTGTGTGTGTGTGTGTGGTTCACCGACAATAGAACAAAGGGGGGGTGTTTGAATAAACTTTATTAACTAAACTCACGTGAACATACAGGAGACCTTTGACCTCCGTACAGACGAGGAAAAAACTAAAACTGTAAGAAAAGAAAGAAAAAATAAAAAACAACAAATAGAGAAGAGAAGAAAAGATGAAGGACAAAAGAGAGAGAGAGAGAGAGAGAGAAAGAAAGAAGAGAGAAGGTGAGAGAAAAAAGGATGAAAAATAAAAAATAAAAAAGGAAGATAAAGAAAAAATAAGAACAACAAACAAATAGAAAGGGAAGAAAAGAGAGAAGAAAACATGGAAGAGAGAAAAAGAGAGAGAGAGAGAGAAAGAGGGAAAGAAAAGAAAAAGAAAGAAGGGAAGAAAAATTTGAAGGAAAGAAAAAGAACTAAGGATAAAAAAGAAAAAATAAAGAAGTGAAGAAAGAGAAAAGAAAAAGACAGAAGAACAACAAATGCAGAGGGAAGAAAAGATAGAAGCAAAAAACAGAAATAAGAAAAAAGCAAAGAATAAAGAAAGAAGGGAAGAAGAAATTGAAGGAAAGAAAGAATAAAAACGAAAAAATAAAGAAGGGAAGAGAAAAAGAAAAAGACAGAAGAACAACAAACAAATAGAAAGAGGAGAAAAGAGAGAAGAAAAGATGGAAGACAGGAAAAGAGAAAAAAAGGATGAAGATGGAAAAGAAAGAAAAAAATTCACGACTTTGAAACAAAAACGTAAACAGACTCACCTGTCTGATGATGTCATCACCGTCCACCTGAAGGGGTCAGAGGTCACATGTCCCTGAACTCCAGCTGATGACGTCACAGGAAGTGGTTTTTGCGACCCCGATCCAGGAGAGGGATCAGACCAGAACCAAGACCAACACCTGCTCCGACCCGGGACCCGTGTCTGAACAGAGACCAGGACAGCAGGTCTCTGCAGACCCACATGTGAGGGACTGGAGTCCAACCAGGACCGCTGGACTTCCACAATACTGAGCTGTAGAGCTGAGAGCGCCCCCTACTGTTCATATTTATAAAACTAACTTTGTTTTCATCTCTGACTCTGAATTATTACAGATATTGATGATCATAACTGTGATTGATTGATTGACTTTGTTCTTGTTTGATTTTCAGACTCTTTCATCTCATGAACTTTTAAATCTTTATTAACTTTAGTATTTTTTATTATATTTGATCAGAGTTTATTATAGTTTATTATATTTGATCAGAGTTTATTATAGTTTATTATATTTTATTATATTTTATTATAGTTTATTATAGTTTATTATGGTTTTATCGTTTTAGTTCCCAGATCCAGAGTTTCATCGGTCCCCTGTGTGTGTATCTGTGTGTGTGTTTGTGTTGAATGAGGTTTGTTTTTTGTATTTTTATTTATTTTATTGTTTTAATATCCTGCGTAAACAAACATCACTTTGTTTTACATTCTCTGTATGAAAAGTGATTTAAAAATAAAGTTTGATTGATTGATTGATTGATAAACAGCTGACCCATCATCTCTGCTGCTCTGATTTATTGATCTGTCTCCTCATTGGCTCGTTCTGTACGGAGTCAGATTAGGGTCAAAAATAATCAAACTGAACTTCTTCAGAGAGAAAAAAACTCACTGAAGAGAAAAAAGTCAAACTTTAAACTTATAAACTAAATATTTATGTAATTTTATAAACTTCTGATCTTTGACTTTTTCTCATCTTTCCTTTTATTTTTATTTATATAATAAATAAATATATTTATTTACAATTTCATAAATAATTAGTTTGTAAGTTTCAAGTTTGACTTTTTTTGCTTCAGGAGTTTTTTTCTCTCTAATTCTTATTTTTTGTTTGATACTAATCGGACTCCATAGTTATTGATAATCACTAGTTGCCATAGAAACAGCTGATCAGCATGGAGACCAAAGGTGAAGGTGTTAAATATCGTGAGAGCGTCGCCTCCTTCTTTCTGTCAGAGGAGAAAAGACCAGAGTCAGGTATCACCTCCTCCCCCTTCATCCCCTCATCCTCTTCTGTTTGTCAGGAGGTGTGAACGACAGAACAGAGGACAAAAGGAAGAGACGACAGGAAGGAGGGACAGAGGAGGGAGGAGGGGGAGGAGGAGGAAACCTGAGGATCAGAGGAGAGGAGAAGAAAACTCATAAAAGAAGGAGAACAGAGGGAGACGAGAAAGAGAAAAAAGAGAAGATGAACAAATGTCCAATAAAGAAGAGGATGAAAAAGAAAAACACAGAGAGGAGGAAAAAGAAAGAGAGAAACGAAAATAGAGACGAGGAAAAGAAAAAAATGTACAACGAAAAAAAACAGAAAAGTAAAAAAGGAAAAAAAGAGAGGAAGATGAAATGTCCAATAAATAAAGAAGAGAATGAAAAAGTAAAACACAGAGAGGAGGAAAAAGAAAGAAAGAAACGAATATAAAGACGAGGTAGAAAAAGAAAAAGTAAAAAAGGAGAAAGAAGAAAGGAAGATGAAGGAAAACAGAAAAAAAGGTGAGAAGGAAAAATTACAAAAAGAAAGTTAAAATGAGAAAAAGATAAAAAAAAAACAGAGAAGGAAAGAAGGAAGGAATTAAAAAAAAAAGAAAAAGGTAAGAACAGAACAGGAGAATAAAATTATCCAAAAAAAGAAAAACCATAAAAAGAAAGAAACAGAAAAAGAAATAAAAAGAGAACACGGATAGGTAAAAAAAAAAGATGGAACCTAAAAAATCAAGAAAAAAGATTATCAATAAAAAAATAAAAAAACAAAGAAAAATGTAAAAATGAAAAAGGGCACCAAGAAAAAGTAAGAGAGGAGAAAAAAGAGAGGAAGATTAAAAAAACTAAAGAAATTAAGGTGAGGATGAAAAAAAAATTTAAAAAAGAAAGTTAAAGTTAAAAAAACATGAAGATAAAAAAGAAAAACAAAGAAGGAAAGAATTAAAACAAAAAGTAAAAGTAAGAAGAAAACAGGAGCATAAAAATATAGAAAATAAAACCAATAACAAAAAGATGGAGGAGGAGAAAAAAGATAAAAAAAAATGGAAACAAAAGAACAGGAAAGAAAAAATTGAACCAAAAAATTAAAAAAAAACAAAGAAACTGATGTTAAAAAAAAGAGTAAAAATGTCACAGAAGAAAGAGATAAAAATAAAAGTAAGAGAGGAAACAACAGAAAAAAAGAGGAGGCAATAAAAAAAACCATGATTTCAGTATTAAGGAAGACAAAACAAGAAAACGAGAAAAAGAAAGACAGAATAAAAGAAAGTAAAGAAAAAGAGGAAAGAAGGAAAACAAAGGGGAGACAAGAGTGTAGGAAAAGAGTTTATTATTAAAGGAGGTAGGACAGAAAAAAGGAAGGATGAATTCAGGACGAGAAGGAAGAAGGAAAGGAAGTGAGGAAGTGAAGGAAGGTCAGAAATGGAGGGAACACAGGAGAGGAGCATTGTGGGTAACTGTCACCTGTCTGTCAAAGTGAGACGTAGAGAATAACAAAGAAGACGACAGGAAGAGGGGGAGGAGACAGGACTTTGACAGACAGGTGATAGCCCTGCCCCTCTGTGATGTCATCGGAGGGAAAGGGCGGGAAAATGAAAACTGGTTCATTGATTTTCTCATTGATTTAAAGGAAGAATCTGATACTAAAAACAAACTTTATCGATCGATCGATCGGTGATCACAGCTGACTCACCTGAGTGTCGATCGCCCCGGCCTCTTCATTCACAGCTCTCTCTCTCTCTCTCTCTAAAGAGTGTTTCTTTTTTTCATGAATTATTCTGTTTTTAGTAAAAAATGAAGAACAGCTGATCTGACTTCATTTACACGTGTATCTGACTCCACCTGCTGGACACTGAGAGAACAACACTCACCCGTCCACTGATCAGTGTCTCTGGAGTTTAATGGACCTTAAGTGGACCAATGAGATCAATATAAATCTAAACCAAATTAATTAATCCTAATTCTGTTTATAACAGGTGAGTTTAATCCTTAATCTAGTTTAAATAGGTACATTTAATCCATAATCTGGTTTAAACAGGCGAGTTTAAGACCAGATCTGGTTTAAACAGGTGAGTTTTAGCCTTTGTCTGATTTAAACACGTGACTTTAATCCTTAATCTGGTTTAATCAGGTGATTTTAATCCTTAATCTGGGTGAAACAGGTGGGTTTTATACTTGATCTAACTTCAACAAGTGAGTTTTGTCCTCAATCTGGTTTAACCATACGAGTTTAATCCTTAATCCGGTTAAAACAGATGAGTTTTATCCATAATCTGGTTTAAAAAATTGAGGTTAAGACTTAATCTAGTTTTTTTTTAAAAGTGAGAATAATACTTAATCTAGGTCAAACTGGTAAATTTAATCCCTAATTTGGTTTAATCAGGTAAATTTTACAATTTATTTTGGTTTAAATACAGATGAGTTTTTAACCTAATCTGATTTAAACAGGTGATCTCAATCCTTAATCTGGTTTAAAGAGGTGAGTTTCATCCTAAATATGATTTAAACAGGTGAGTTTAATCCTTAATCTGGTTTAAAGAGGTGAGGTCAAGACTCAATCTGGTTAAAACAAGTAAATTAAATCCTTAATCTGGTTAAAACAGGCAAGATTAACCCTTAATCTGATTTAAACAGGTGAGTTTAATCTTTAATCTGGTTTTAAACGTTGAGGTAAAGACTTAATCTGGTTTAAACAGGTAAATTTAATCCTTAATCTGGTTTAAAATGTTGAGGTAAAGACTTAATCTGGTTTAAGTGAGGTCACATTAAACTCAAACAAAGATTAGAATAAAACAGTTTCTCTTCGTCTTCAGTCTGAAATAATCCAGATTATTTTAAGAACAGGGCCACCATGACAGAGTGAAACTTTTATTAACACAATTAAACATGGGAACACACACACTGTCTGTCTGTGTGTGCGTCTGTGTGTAACGTGTGTGTGTGTAATGTGTGTGTATTTCTGTGTTTAGTGTGTAGAAAACTTTGGCAGCTGGTTTCCCAGAATGACCCGCCTCTCCACGCCATCTTCAGAGATGCTCGCCAGTCTGATCACGCCCCCGCTGGATCCGTCCCTCTCCATCGCCAGAGACAGAGCTGAGACACGGACAGACAGGTGAGACACAGACAGGTGAGACACAGACAGACAGGTGAGACACGGACAGGTGAGACACAGACAGGTGAGACACAGACAGGTGAGACACAGACAGACAGGTGAGATAATGAGTTTCAGGATTAAGACACAGTTTGTAGTTTTTGTGCATTACAAGCAGCAGCCCTGCGGTGGACTACATCTCCCAGCATGCCTTGCGGCGTACCTGCAGCAGTCAGCTCCAGACACTGCTCTTTGTTCAGTCCTGGTTTGTAGTTGGAGTCCATGAAGCCGTAGATGTAGGTGCTGCCGCTGCCTCCCACCGACACGGGCTGCCTCACCAACATCCCCCCGATGGGAACGCAGTACACCTGACACACACACACACACACACACAGGTCAGCTGATTGTTTCCCTCACCTGTACAGGTACACCCTCAGGTAAGCGCCTCACCTGTCCTCCCTTCCTGCGGTCCCAGCCGGCCACCAGGATCCCGGCGGTCAGCTCCTCTCTGTACCGGTAACAGCTCGCTTTGAACAGGTTGGCCGCCGTCTCCACCAGCGGGGGCTCGTCCAGCTCGATGCTGAGGGGGCGGAGCCACACACAGGTAAGACAAAACCACCACACCTGACTGGATCCTGAGGCTGTCAATCAAACTCTGTGTGTGTGTGTGTGTGTGTGTGTGTGTTACCTGTGGAAGCCCAGCTGGTAGGTGACCACATCAGCAATCGCCTGAGTGTCAGCAGCTGATCCGGACCTGCAACACATCAGAACCAGAACCTCAGTGACCCGCGCTTCATTAACAGGTTCTCAGATCAGGGTTCTAGAAGGTTCCTGTCTCTTTAGGAGACTTCCAGAACCCTGAAGTGAATGTGGTCTGAACAGTTCCTGTTCACAGGGTCACGCTGGTTTTGGCTCTTTTAAAAGTTCACAAAGAAGTTTTTATCGAGATTCTCGGAGAGAAGAAAACATGAGAGAGTTATCAGAACATGTCAGGAGGGAGAGTGACCTGCAGCAGAAGATCCTGTCGTGGATCGGAGTCAGTTTGTCCGTTACTCTGTTGGCGATGTACGCTCTGAGGGAGAGAGAGAGAGAGAGAGAGAGAGAGAGAGAGAGAGAGATTTATACAAAGGTGGACTTTAAAATGACCACCTGAAGAACACCTGCAGTCTCTTACTCACCCTGTGGTGGTGCGAGAGTCAGCACCAATCACGACTCCACCGTCGTACTCCACCGCCATGATGGTGGTCTGATGGACAGAGGGACGGGTTATTTGGAGACACGACAAGAGCTGACTCAAGAGTTAGAAATGAGGTTAAACCTCCTTCTATCGTGTCGTTTAGAAAAGAGTCATGGATCACGGTCAGTGTTTGCTCTTTCTGAGGATGTGATGATATTTCATTAATAACCTCTCACCAGACCATTTCATACTTCATTCTGATTGGTCAAAACATCCATTCTCAACATCTAAAGTGACTCCACAGACCATCACAGGTCATTTCCTGTGGAGAAAGGTTCTGTTTCCCCTCAGCCTGTTCACTCTGTGGTTTCAGAACCAGGTAGAATAAAATAAAGAGATAAAATAAGAAAAAATAAAGAGACAAAAAGATAAAATGAGTAAAAATAGAGAGAAAATGTAAAAAAAAATTAAGAAAAAATAAAGAGACAAAAAGAAAAAATAGAGATAATTTTTTTAAAATTAAGAAAAAATAGATAAATTGAGTAAAAATAGGGAAATAAAAAAAATAAGAATAAATAGAGAAATCTTAAAAAAAATTAAGAAGAAATAAAGAGAAATTTTTAAAAATATAGAAAAAATACAGATAAATAGATAAATTCAGTAAAAATAAAGAGATAAATAGATAAATAAATTTAATAAAAGAGATACATTTAATAAAAATAAAAGCGATAAAAAGGTAAAATTAGTAAAAATAAGTTAAAAAAAAACAAAAACAGAGAGATAATACCCAGGTATGTAAACATGTTGGTTCTGGTCTCTGACTGGTCTTGGACCGGGTCAATAAAGACAGTTATAAGAGCAGCCTGAAAACCCACTCAGACCACCTTCAGACTGATGATCCCCCTCGGTCCCAGGGAACCCGGGTCCGACAGATTAGTTCTAATTCAACATCTGTGAACCTTCGTCCTCTGCCGTTTACAATCATGTTATCACACAGAGCCCATTATCGGACACAGTCTTTGATCATAAACTTGTAAATATTACTAAAGTTAGCTCCTCATTAAACTACATTAGTGATTCAGCTCTCCTATTAAACTCTCCATCAGGTCCGGGTCCAGTTCGGTTCTGTTCGGAGCTTCAGTTCGCCTCCTCCTCCTCAGAAGTGCTGTCTCATTCAGCTGCTGTTACACTTTTAAAAACTCCCCACAGAGGCCGAACCGGCTCCATTCTGTCCGCCCCGGTCCACGAGGCTCTAGTACTCACCCCGGTGCTGACTTCCTGGCTGGTCCAGTCCGGTACCAGGTCGTTTTTGGAGGAAATTTGCTGCCCGAAGATCGGAACCATCGCTGCTGTTGCCGCCATCTTGTCTCTGTGAGGATAAAGTAACCGGAAGAGGCGCCCTGAGAGGATGCCGCCGTTACTGAGACACTTATCAACTTCAGACTCTGTGAGGGCTTTCAATAAATAATTATCGATCAAACTGCATTTTTTTTTTCATGTCACGATCAGTTTTAATCATATAACAGAAATGACGGAGCTAAATTCACGTCGAAATGCTGCTTTAAAATAGTTTTGTTAAGGCATGTCAGCGGACACCTGTTTGGGGGGGACCATCCGGAGTGAGGCAGGAAGAGAAGGTAAACACGGCTGATGTTGAGAAAAAACGACTCAAAAACCTCCATTTAAACATTTAATTTGTCTGTTTTTACAACAAAGTCAGTTTCTTTCTCACATCTTTGTTGTTGACTTATAGAAATGTTTCCCTATAAGAGCGCAAACGGGTTTTTTAGACCGTCCTCAGCTGACTGGACCGAACCGAACCGGAGAAAAGAGAGACAGACATGAAATAAAACAACAAATACCTGAAAATATTACTGTTTAGAAAAGGGGCGGAGTCTTTAATTCTGCTGATAAAAGGACGAAAATATGTGTTTTTAGATCCTAAAAAAACAAACTTTATTTCGGTCCAATTAAAGGTTCTGTCGGGGTTTTTTAACTGGATGAGAAACGGACTAAAACTGGTTCTGATGTGGTTTAGTGTTGTGGTTCGACCTTAGTACTGTTATTAGAAATCAATTTTAGGTCTTTTGGTCACATGACAGTGAAGCTATTGAAGGAAAACAGCCTTTTCTCAGAACATCAACCGGTAATTTATTGACGGTCCCTTATTCAACACCGACGTTGACAGTGAGGGTGTCGAGTAGATTTAACCGCGCTGCTGTTGTTATTCCCGGTTATGGAGAGTGAGAAGAGCGATAGTTTTTTTTTTCGTAGAATGGTAGGGGAAGGTCCCGCCCTCCTTTGCCTCTGATTGGCTAGAAATGCTGGGCTCCGATTGGTTATTGCTTATGGCTGTGAAATGTCCTCCAGATTAATGCTGTGTTCCAGTCACCTTGGAAGTCGGCTGTTGAAGTTGGGAACAACGTTATACCCGTTCCAGTTAACAAGTCGGATATAAGAGGTCACACTTTGGCCACAGGGGGGCAGCAGAACCAACACAGACCGAAAAGTCTTGAGAGGAGCTTTAAAGTCTGACTCTGAGTGTGTTTGTGTTTCAGATGACGGTCCATAACCTGTACATATTTGACCGTAACGGCAGCTGTCTCTATTATAACGAGTGGAACCGCAAGAAGCAGGCCGGGATCTCCAAGGACGAGGTGAGGGGACGGACGCGGACGAGACCGAAGGATGAGAGAGTGAAACGCTCAAGGTCCCATCAATCTAACCCTGCTGTCTGTCTGTCTGTGTGTCTGTGTGTCTGTCTGTGTGTCTCTGCAGGAGTTCAAGCTCATGTATGGGATGCTGTTCTCCATCCGGTCGTTTGTCAGTAAGATCTCCCCTCTGGACATGTATCCTTCAGATATCTGCCTGCCTGTCCGTCTGTCTGTCTGTCTGTCTGTCTGTCTGTCTGTCTCCCCACCTGTCCGTCTGTGGTCCTTAGCAGCCCGTGTGTCCTCAGGAAGGACGGCTTCCTGTCCTTTCAGACCAGTAAATATCGTCTTCATTACTACGAGACGCCCAGTGGACTGAGGTTTGTGATGAACACAGACCTGTCCGTCACCAACGCCAGAGAGACGCTGCAGCACATATACAGCAATGTAAGACAGGCTAAGACTTATTATTATTATTATTATTATTATTATTATTATTATTATGATTATCAATATTATTGTCATTATTATTATTATTACTGTTATTATTATTATTATTATTGTCATTATTATTATTACTGTTGTTATTATTATCAATATTATTGTCATTATTATTATTACTGTTGTTATTATTATCAATATTATTGTCATTATTATTATTATTACTGTTATTATTATTATCAATATTATTGTCATTATTATTATTACTGTTGTTATTATTATCAATATTATTGTCATTATTATTATTATTACTGTTATTATTATTATCAATATTATTGTCATTATTATTATTACTGTTGTTATTATTATCAATATTATTGTCATTATTATTATTACTGTTGTTATTATTATCAATATTATTGTCATTATTATTGTTACTGTTATTATTATTATCAATATTATTGTCATTATTATTATTACTGTTGTTATTATTATCAATATTATTGTCATTATTATTATTACTGTTATTATTATTATCAATATTATTGTCATTATTATTATTACTGTTATTATTATTTATTTATTTTAAACATAATAATGATCCTGTGATATCACTGTAAAAAACAACAGTTTAGATTGAAGAGTTACTGAGCCAAGTATGGATCAATATCATCACGATTACACCTTATCTGTGTGTGTGTGCGTGTGTGTGTGTGTCCCTCAGCTGTATGTGGAGTACATCGTGAAGAACCCGGTGTGTGTGTTGGGTCAGACTTTGGACAGCGAGCTCTTCAGCAACCGTCTGGACGCCTTCATCAGAGCTCTGCCCTACTACAGCCCCCGAGCTGCATAATACACACACACACACACACACACTAACTCACACACAGAGTTTTAATGTAATGTTTATCCTGAATTTGTTGTTGTTTTTGTGAATCTGTCGTATTAAATGTTTCCAAACATGAAGCTGTGTCTCTTCAGCTGGTGTCCGACCCTCCAGGACGTGGATTTTTTGTGTTTCCCGCCCTCCTTCGCCTCCGATTGGCTCCAAGTGCTCCGATTGGTTATTCCTTAGGGCTGTGAAACGTCATTGTCTGGCTAGGTTTAGGAGCATAGATATATATACGCTAGATGGCTTACGCATGGCGGCCATCTTGCTAAGGTCAGCTCGCCCACTCATAACATTCCAGTCTACGGTTCATGTAACATTAAAATAACCATAGATCGATTAATTCTTAATAACCATAGATTAATCAATAATTTAAATAACCATAGATTAATTAATTTTAAACCGATTTTTAAACAGTTTGTTTTGTAACAAACCTCAGAGTTTTAGTTCCTGCATACTCCAGAATAATTGTAACCATGGATTTACATAAATAAACATTAAACAGATAGGTAGAACAAGATAGACCTACACACACAAGGCAGTTATATTAAATCATTTAAAACATTTAATCATTCCATGTTTGTTATATCTGTAATATTTCTAGTATAGGGATAACTATAATAACATATAACAATAACATATATAAATATCTGTTTTCAATATAAAATATAAATTTCTGCCTCATGTTTCCTTTCTGCATATTTGTTCTGTTATATATATATATATATATATATATATATATATATATATATATATATATATATTCACTAAGTAACAAACTATTGTGATCGTTCTAGTCATAATATTGTCATCTCTTACACATGAAAGGTGATCCCCTTTTCTGTGTTTCCAGGCTCCGTTTATTGGATCATACATAAACTGTATTTTCACTCATTGGATGTTTTCTTTTCCTGTATCATCATGTTAGATATATTTAACAAACCAAACAGTTTAGAAATCATGTGTAACTTCAGTTTTGTTGAATCTAAAGAGCATTTCTGCCTCCGCGAGTCTGTTAGAGAAGTTAGACGGCTGATAAACACAAAGTTAAACAGCTGTTCTTCCTGATTTAGTCTTTTTTCTTAAAGTAAATCTGTCATTTTAATATATCCAAACATCCAGACTCATAACCTCGTTATTAAGGTCTGTAATAAACTAAACCGTTTATAAATCTGTCAAGATTTCAGAGAGTTTAGAGGATTTTTGATCAGATTACTCACCTCCCGTCAGCTACCAAGATGGCCGCCGTGTAGGGACGCCGCTGACTCCGCCTCATAGAGACATCTAGGTTTACAGATCTATGAAGAAAGTTCCTCGGTATTCCTGATTCCTGAAGTTTCAGTCGTCAAATGACTGAGAGGGAAGGAAGAGGAAACATGGCGGCTCCTAACCTCAGCACATGTTTCATCATCTTCTTCTTCGTCTTCTTCTCCTCTCTGCTGGTTCCCGCCGAACTTCGTCCTGGTGAGTTTTTACTTCACTTAGTTTTAACTTCAGTTTCAAAGTTCGGAGGGAAATTAACGGAACCGAATCGGTACGAACTTAGACCGGCTGACTGAGTCAAAGCCGGTGTTGTGCCGTTAAATGCCCCCCCCGACGGTAGCGGGTTTTAAGTACTTCAGAAGGCGAAAACAATCCAAGTTTTCCTCACCGTTGGATGAATCTAAAGCGTGTTTCTTTAATGACTTCATTCAGGTTATTCAGATAAAACATCAACCCTCTGATTCTGAATATTTACTGTCCCGAAAATATCATGTTCGCTAGTTTTAACAGCTTCCTGTACAGTTTATAAACCCAAGTACACCTCCGTATGTGCATTTGAGACACATAAAAACAGAACCAAAGTTGTCACGATCAAATAAATATGAGATTTAAATATGAGATCATTTTCTTCCACTTTAAGAAGCTCACGAGTGGATGAGAGGCAGGGGGACATTCTACGGCATAACACCTGACCCCCTCTTCTCCTCCTCCTCCTCCTCCTCCTCCTCTTACAGTGAGGTGAAGTGGGTTTAATATTCGACAGAAACGTGTTTTTCGGGTTAACCTGAAAGAACTAAGTACGGTTTTCATCACACTATTGCAGTTTATAACAATATTATTAATAATAATTATTGTTATAGTTCTCGAATATTGCATCATTTTCACCTGACTTTTAACTCCTTCAGTCTGTAGAGGGAATATGGAGGGTTAGGAAAGGTTCATAAAAGGTTTAAAAGTAGTTAATAAACTTTTAAGATTAGTTAATCAATAGTTTAAGATTAGTTAATAAGAACTTTAAGAGTAGGTAATAACAGTTAAAGAGTAGTTAATCAATAGTGTTAGTGTAGTTCATTAATAGTTCTATTGGAAACTGATGAGGGTCCTGATTGGTCAGAAAAGGATCATCCCTGAAAGGTTCTGTCCTCAGAACTTGGCCCGGTCCAGGTTCTCCACCTCTTCAATAACAGTGTTTCTCTGTTTTTCAGTCTCTGCTGATCGGACGGCCATCTTGTCTTGTCCGTGTCTGGATGTCAACAAAAACGTCACTGGTCTGATGATCACCTCACCTGACCTTCAGGAAGGCAAGTATGTCGCCTTTTGGAAAGACTTCATCCTAGATCCAACCAACCAGAGTCCAAAGTTCTCTGGACGAGTGAACTGCTCAGAAGACTGGACCTGCAGGATCCAAGACATGACCAGCAGTGATCCGGATCAATACGAGTGCCGAGTTTTCTACAACGGACCGGATCCTGACAGTGATCCAGAGGAATACAACTGCTCCGCGACGGTCACAAACACAACGGTCACAAAACCGACGGTCACAAACACGATGGTCCCAGGTGAGTAGATCCATCTCCTGTGAACAGTGCAAAAGTACGGTGAATAAAAATTAAGAATTATATATACATATATATATATATAATTCTTAATTTATATATATATACATATATATATAAATATATATGTGTGTGTGTATATATATATATAATTCTTAATTTATATATATACATATATATGTGTATACACTCACCGGCCACTTTATTAGGTACACCATGCTAGTAACGGGTTGGACCCCCTTTTGCCTTCAGAACTGCCTCAATTCTTCGTGGCATAGATTCAACAAGGTGCTGGAAGCATTCCTCAGAGAGCTTGGTCCATATTGACATGATGGCATCACACAGTTGCCGCAGATTTGTCGGCTGCACATCCATGATGCGAATCTCCCGTTCCACCACATCCCAAAGCTGCTCTATTGGATTGAGATCTGGTGACTGTGGAGGCCATTTGAGTACAGTGAACTCATTGTCCTGTTCAAGAAACCAGTCTGAGATGATTCCAGCTTTATGACATGGCGCATTATCCTGCTGAAAGTAGCCATCAGAAGTTGGGTACATTGTGGTCATAAAGGGATGGACATGGTCAGCAACAATACTCAGGTAGGCTGTGGCGTTGCAACGATGCTCAATTGGTACCAAGGGGCCCAAAGAGTGCCAAGAAAATATTCCCCACACCATGACACCACCACCACCAGCCTGAACCGTTGATACAAGGCAGGATGGATCCATGCTTTCATGTTGTTGACGCCAAATTCTGACCCTACCATCCGAATGTCGCAGCAGAAATCGAGACTCATCAGACCAGGCAATGTTTTTCCAATCTTCTATTGTCCAATTTCGATGAGCTTGTGCAAATTGTAGCCTCAGTTTCCTGTTCTTAGCTGAAAGGAGTGGCACCCGGCGTGGTCTTCTGCTGCTGTAGCCCATCTGCCTCAAAGTTCGACGTACTGTGCGTTCAGAGATGCTCTTCTGCCTACCTTGGTTGTAACGGGTGGTTATTTGAGTCACTGTTGCCTTTCTATCAGCTCGAACCAGTCTGGCCATTCTCCTCTGACCTCTGGCATCAACAAGGCATTTCCGCCCACAGAACTGCCGCTCACTGGATATTTTTTCTTTTTCGGACCATTCTCTGTAAACCCTAGAGATGGTTGTGCGTGAAAATCCCAGTAGATCAGCAGTTTCTGAAATACTCAGACCAACCCTTCTGGCACCAACAACCATGCCACGTTCAAAGTCACTCAAATCACCTTTCTTCCCCATACTGATGCTCGGTTTGAACTGCAGGAGATTGTCTTGACCATGTCTACATGCCTAAATGCACTAAGTTACCGCCATGTGATTGGCTGATTAGAAATTAAGTGTTAACGAGCAGTTGGACAGGTGTACCTAATAAAGTGGCCGGTGAGTGTATATGTGTGTATATATACATGTATTGCAGAATGTTTGATATTCACAGATGAAGTCAGTATCTCCAGGTGGTTCTCTGCAGCAGCAGTGATCGTATGTTGCTCTTGTTGCCTCATATTGAGGACTGGGGTTTTGGTCTGTGGGAGTTCAAGGTGGTGACGATGTCTCCTGAGAAGAAACTCTTCTTCAGTCTGTTGGACTGTGACTGAAGATCCTGATTCTGATCCTGGTTCTGGTTCTGGTTCTGAACAGAAACAGATCTCTTCATGGTCTAACTGGAATGTCTCCTCCTCTGCAGGTGGACTCTCTGACCTGGAAATATTTTTCTCGTTTCTTGGAGTCATCGCTGGGATTGTAGTGTTTGCAGGGATTGGGATTGTGGTCGTTTCCATGTGCAAAAAGGAAAAAGAGAAAAAGGCTGGGCCACTCAACATCAGTGGGGACAACAGCAGCGAGGACAACAGTGAGGACAACAGTGAGGACAACAGCGACAACAACAGAGACAACAGCAGTGACGACCAGGGAGCGCTGCTACACAATGTCCCAGTCCGCTCCCCCCGACTGGGACAGCATGAGGCTGTAAAGTTTTCTGCTGTCTGCAGAGAGGAACCCTAAAGGACCGAACACCAGCCTGGGGGGGGGGGGGGTGTCACGGTTGACCCCTGGACAGTGTGAAAAATCTGCACTTCCTCCAGACGCTCAGGGCGCTTGTTTCCATGGTTACAGAGTGAGACAGAGCACACGGTCATGTTTGTAAGAACTCACCTGTGTGAGACATAAAGGGGCGGGGCTAACTTGACTGACAGCTGTTAGGCCCGCCTCTCAGTAAACCCGGACCTCCTCTTGGTTCTGAGACTGTGTGGACCACCATTGGACCGTTTTTTTAAATCAGATCCAACAAATGAGGAACAAAGTCACTGAAGTGAACTCTGAACTGAAAACTGTTTAAATGCTGTTTTTAAATATTTGTGTCAGATAATATATATTTATATATTTATAGGTCTGTGTAGGTCTGTGTAGGTCCCCTCTGTAGACCTGTGCAGGTCGGTCTTTGTACTGTTGTTGATTTTTGTAAATAAACGTCCTCACTCGGGGTCAGCGTCTTCTCCTGTCTCACTTTATTTGATTGACGGTCTTGGTGGTTCTGAAGGTTCATGTCACAGTTGGTCTGAGGAGGAGGGACAGTGAAGTCTGCTGATACTGGTCCAGAGAAGACCTCTGAGGACAGGTGAGCTGCAGCAGAAGCCCCGCCCACAAACACAGGGGGGACCAGACCACAGGGGGGCCAGGACAGAGACACTAAAGAACCACGAAAATATGATGTATGACAAGACAACAACATCTGCACACACACACACAGACACACACAGACTGACACACACTAACACACACACACAGACACTGACTGACTTTTTGTCCTTGTTTCTGTTTGAACTTTGACATGAAGCTGAAGGAGAACAGTCGAGTGTGTGTGTGTGTGTGTGTGTGTGTGTGTGGTCACTGTAATCCCTGCCGGACTATAATCTCTAATCCGCTGAAAAATATACAGCCAACCAACAGCCTCACACACAGATTGTTGTTTTGTTGAACTTGTGAGGACCTGGTCCACAGCTGACAGGTCGCTAACGCTGTCAGAGGTCGGAGCTGAGAATGACGTCACACCGAGT